ACGAGCTGGTTGGAAAGGCCTCTTCGGCTTCGTGGGCTCCCCAAAGGTTCGACAGCGTACTATCGGCTGTCAAGAAAATAGTCATGAACCTGGATAGTATTCTGGAACTCTTCGTGGAGACGGCTTCCTTCCAGAACTGCCAGCAAGAATGGGCTAGGAAGCTCCTGGCTGTGCCTTGGCTGTCGTTCTGCTTGTGGCAATACACGGTTTGCAACATGTGCAGAAGATTTTCTGGCCACGTCTGCAGGTGTTCACGGCTCCAAATATCAGGGCTTTGGCCCTGCTCACGGAGTGGTTGAGCATCTGTTCCAGGTACGTGCATATGTATGACACGGATCCTGTCAAAGCTTCCTCGCCGACAACCTGCATAGCCAACATAGCCCGGACCTCGTCCTTGGCCGATCTTCTGAAGAAGGACGCCTGGACCTTCTTTTTGCGAAAGTCCTGGCTCCAAGTTGCGATTGTGAGATAATGGGACAGGAGCTCAATGACATGTTCGAGCTGAAAACCCTGACCGGGCAAGCCCAGGTGCCACATGTCCTGAACCCAAAGTACACGGCTGGCTATGTTTCTGTAGCAGAGCGAGCGATGAGGTTCAGCTTCCAGCCTGCATGGTTCTTTATTGGGACTTTCAACACTGAACACAAGCATGGTGCCTGTGGCCTCTTCCTGCTTTCGATTTGCTTGCAAGGTTCTGAGCGAGCAATCATTGCACACGGCAATCTGTTGCTGCACTACGAAGGTGCACCCCCCTGCCCTGAAACCCTGCCTCACCTCAACTTTTTCATCCTGTCTTGTGGTGCCAGAGGCCACAGCGACAGCAACTTCGAGCAATCTCTGTGCAAAGAACTCGGCAGTATTCGTAACATTTCGAAGATCTTCCTCGAGAGCATCACATGTTGGCACACCACTGGTGTGGCGGGCAGCTTGTGCCCCTTCGATGTACTCCAGTGGCATAAGAAGCGGAAGGACGACTGCCTGTTTCTTGTTTGCAGAGCAATCCGCCATTGAGGTTATGTCGTGCTGAGTCGTGCCTCCCATTCATTCCCTTCCTTCCAAGGAAACATTGCTTCGACCCCTTGGCGGCCATGCTACAGGTGGACGGTGGCCAGCTAGAGGCTGAATTTCTGTTGGCTCGGCCGACTGCTTTGCATTTGGCGAGGTGGGAAAGCTGCTTGAATTGACACGTGGCATTGCGACTTTGGCCAAGCATGACCATTCACACACTGCTTGCCCAGGGCTGGCCACTTGGACTATTGGCCTCAGACGATGAACCATTGGGGCTCGAGGTTGCCGGTCCTTTGCAAAGTCGCTCCTGCCTTATCTTCGACATGTCCAACGGCTGTGTTGTCTTTCCTGGACACTGACGAACTACGTCTTGCCTGTCTCGCAATGCTCAGGTTCGCTGCCTGCTCTGCATCTTCGACTCGACTTCCGCCATCGAAAGCAGCTTCTCCACCTACCGGCTTTTCACCAAGGGCGCCAAGGCTTCAATCACGGAGGCCCATCGCAACTTGTATATGAAAGTGTTCTGCGATGCTCCGCCGCCGGATATGAGTTTCATCTGCGAATCAGCCGTCTGGTCTAGTCTAGTCTTGTGCCCTCCTTTCTTAGTGTGCCGGCTTGAGTCTTAAGCTTAAGGATCGCCAGGCCGACCACAGCCGGCAGATGCTACGAAGCCACACCGTTTTGCAACCGGGTGTTGCAAACATACCGTGTGCTGAATGGCGGGCAGGGGAAGAACACCAAGTCCACGAATCTGCCCCGCAGGCTGATGAAATCCAGACTTCGAGCAAAAGGCCTGCAAGCCTTCGATCGCCGCAAAACCGGCGAGGTCGTGGCTTTGACCGAGGAGCAGTCGAAGGCTCTGGACCCTTCGGTCGTGGAAAAGATCGTGGGCCTTGACGATGTGGTACAGAAGGCCGCCAAGGACCGTTGCTTTCGCTCCGGCCATTTGCTTCGTGCAGTTTCATTCTCATTTTTGCCAGGATCGCACTTCGCAGAAGCAAATCGATTTGTTTTCGTGCTTGAAGAAGAAGGCCCGCGAGAGGCAGGAGGCCTTCATTCACGGGCCGCACCACGAAGGTGCTGCAAAGCTGAAGGAGCTGGAGAGGGATGTTCTTAAGAATGCCGAGCAGCTGTGCAAGGTCGAGGAACGACAGATGGCCAAGGACACAAGGACCCTGGCACCCGTGCCAACCTGGGTTGTGATTGTTGGTGAAGCATGCCATCAAGAGACGGGTTTTGGAGGTTTGCAAGCCTGAGCAACAGGTGGTCATACACGGGGTTACTTCCTTCTTGACTCAGTTGCACAAGGCCAGTTTCTACGAGACGCTGCCCGGCCAGATAGTGTACCTGTGCTCCAATTCTGAAACTCTGCTCTGGCTCACTGACCCAACGATCGACATCGAAGACGAATCCGACAAGCAGAAGAAGAGATCCCACCTCGTGTTGGCTACTCGCCTGTTGGGCGGTTATGTCTGTGGCCCGAGCTGGTTGGAACGCCTTGCCAACAGCCCCGCACAGGCCTTGCCAGCTGCTTGTCGGCAAAGCCAGTCCTGTGCTTCCCCTTGTTCCTGCCCGTAGCTTCGGTGTTTTGTCTGTCGCCGGCCAGGCTCCGATCCTGCAGCTCCGTTCGTCTATGCTCACGCCGCATCAGGTTTACTTGGGCAAGCAGCTGCCAGGCCATGCTTCGGATTTCTGGTGGCAGCTTCACAAAGGGCTTCTTAACAGTCGCCTGGGAGACAGTGTTTCGATGGTCTTACGGGACAAGAAGAAGCACAAGCTGCTTCTCGCCTGCATTCTTTCAGTCAAGCCCAGGGCCCGAGACACATCAAAAAGGATGTACTTTTTTTCTGCAACCCAGACTTGTCGGATATGACCATCCGAGCCCGGACCCTCTGTAGCGACGCCGGGCCACTGGCCCACTGTCGGGCAACACCCTCCGGGCCCGGAGCATCTGTAGCGACGCTCGTGTACTAGTCATCAGTCAAGAAGCAGAATGACTGTCGGAAATGCAGCACCGGGCTCGGACCCTCTGTAGCGACGCCGGGCCTGTGGCCCACTGTCGGCCGGAGCCATCCGGGCTCGGAAGGCTTCTAGCGACAGGAATGCTAAGTTCGTAATCCTTTTGTTTTGCAATCATCGGAACCGAGGAAAAAGAGAACCCTCATCGTGGTTCCACAAGCTCTTTCGGGTATCAAGAGGAACTTGGAGAAGCACAAGATCCCCGGGAAACTGATTTCCGTGCAGGACTGCCTCTTGCAGTTCAGCCAGTACCTCGTCTCCATATCCTGGCTCTGTAGCAAGCGGCATTTCCGGATACTCCCAAAGCTTGTTAAATCTGATTTGTCGGCCAAGGTGGATCTGACCTCTTCTCCTGCCGCGACCTTTCACCTTTCCTGTACAGCTGTAATGGGTCGCTGTTCCATTTTCTGTGCTCTGGGGTCAACTTCTGGGGATTGGGGGACTGCTGCCACTCGGGCTGCGGAGTTTCGACTGCTTTGGAAAACGCTGCTACCATGCTGCCCCACGTCTGGGTCGCTGTTTTAGTTTCCGGTCTGTTCTGGGGTAAACTTCTCGGGGCTGGGGGATTGCTGCCAGTCGGGCTGCAGAGTTGCGAAGCTGCCTTGGTAAATGCTACTCTTCGTTTGAAATCCTAGGTCCTAGGAGCAGCATTGCCGGCTTAACTCGTTAAAATGCTGCCGCAGGTTTTAGAGGCATTCAATCGCCTGATTGTCGGGCGCCTGCTTTGTGAGTCTGCCATGGGAAAACCGGGGCGGAAATCCAAGGCCAAGGCGAAAGCCAACCCTGAGACTGAGGCAGCTGTCCCAGGCAGCATACCCGCCTCAACTGAGGAGTACGCAGCAGGAAGCCATCTTGACGTTGAGGGCCGCCGGCACGTGGGTTGAGCACAAGACTGAACCGAATCCTCTGACTGGGTTGTGCTCCCTGCCCAACGATTTCAAGGGGACGGACATTCCTTCTGCTGATCAGACTCCAGACTGCATTCTGCTCTTGTCGTCTTGCTGCTGTTGTCTCCCGCGGCCCAGTGCCAGTTCCTGAGGTGTGTTCGGTGCAACCTCGTCTTGGGGGATTTTGATTTCGTCAACCCGAATTTCTCGACCATGAGCCTTTCGCGGACCGACGTCGCGAGTGCCAGGGCCTACTGGTACAACCCGGCCACACCGGTCGCAGAGTTGCCCACAGTGACGGCCCTTTGCAGCGACGACAGCCAGAAGCCAGCAGTCGCAATAGTAGATTTCAAAATTTCAATCGTCAGCTCGCGAGCTGTTTGTGTTGTGCCCTGCTGAGGGGAGGCTTGGCCCCTGTTACGCGGCTTGCACAACTCTCGGCATTCGTGCTAGAATGGGCGGCAGCCACCGGGGAACGTGCCGAACAGTTTCGCCGCCGGGCTTGTGTAGCTTGGTTGCCATTCTTCCTCTGCTAAAGCAGGTCTGAAGTCGTGCTGGGATGTGCTTTGCTCAGGCTGTTCCGGCGATGCTTCTTCGTGGGTCCCCAGATTCGGCCGACAGTTTCTGGCATCTCCACGCACATGGCGAAAATATGGAAAAAGTCGCCCAAGAGGCCTGGTGCAAGGTCACCCTTGCTAGGAACGGTCTTGAAAGATGTTGTCCGGTTTTCTGCCAGGAAAGCAATGCCTATTGTTGCCGGCTGGCTGATCGCCTCTTCCAGCACCTCGGCTGTTTCAAATTCCATGGCTGCCATGACTCCGGCTGTCCTGTGACACTGAGGTTGCAGCTCCTGCTGAAGTCCATGGGGAAAAGGTCTACGGCCGAAGACATCTTCCAAGAGTTTCAGGTGGTGGACTTGGGGTAGCTGGGCTTTCTTTCTCATTCCTGCTAGTTTCGCCTGAACACAGGCAAAAGTTGCTGATGGAAAGCTCAAGTTCGCGAGCGAAGAGAGCAAGGCTGGTAATCGCCAAGTGTTCTCCAGAGGTCCATAAGTACACTGCTCAATGCCAGGTGCGGTCGTCGGATATGGTTTCTAAGCTCTTGCGGTTGCGAGAGAGGGCAACGGAAGCATCGACATGGGAATTGTTGCGGGAGATGCAACGAGGCCCTTCTGGTGTGACTTGGGCTGGCCGTTGGAGCTCCGCGGTTCGACTGTTAGGCCCAAGTCGCGACAAAGTCGACTTTGAGTGGTTGATCAAGCAGCTGGCGAGGGCCTTTGGGAACGAGTTCTTCGACAAGAAGTTCGACAGAAGTGTGGCGGAAATGACCAAAGAAAGTGTCGAGACGACGTGCAAGGCTCTCCTCGCCACGAGAAGGTTGATGGCACGGCTAGTGAAAGAATGCAGTGCTCCCGGCCAGAGCAGAAAGTGGCTGGACTCCCTGGCCGGCATGCTTTCGCCTGAGAGGATACACGTCTCCACCGCGACGGACGTCTCCGACGACTTCCTCGCGACGGCGATGCTCGGAGCGACGGACAGCGAGGCCGGGGTGCTGACCTTGCTCAACGACCTGGCCAACTTGAAGTACCTGAAGGCAATCGGGGCTGTCGCGGCCTATGTGAACACTTCGTCATCCCAGTGGAGCGACCACAGAATCCAAAGCATCGTCTCCGAAACGGTCCAGGCGATGCTCGGCAGCATTTCCCGCAATTACTGTTAGCAGGGCTTCATCTTTCATTCACGTTCCTTGCTTCCCAGGTACGGGAAAGAGCACCTGCGACCGATCGTACCGCCGGCTGTGACAGAGCCCCCACCTGCTCCTGCTGAGGAGCCGGAGACTGCTGCTTGGAACGACGCAGATGTTGCTGCTGCTGGTCCTGGTTCTTCAACTTCGGCCCCTGCCACGGCGGTGCTTCGTGACCAAAGGCTGCGAGAGGCGGCTACACACGAAATGCAGAGGTACTCCAAGATGTTGGTTGTGAGCGACCTCGTCGACGCCAACGGTGTCCAGTCTGTGCTTTCTCCGAGCCCTGGCTGTTTGGTAAAAAATCTTGAAAGACAGCTGAACCTAAGACCTAAGGATGTTGAAGATGCTGCAGCCCCGCATGGCCAGCGAGCAGGAGCACCGGGTTTGGGTGTTCGACAGTGCCATGTTGATGGAGACGGGTACTGCATGGAGCAAAACCCATAATATCTACGGCCGCACGCCGCCTTTTGCAAAGGGTGCTTTGTCGCCCTGCTGCAAATGAAGGACGTCGTGAGACTTGTGGGCCGTGGGCCTGTAAGCTTTGTAGGACACTAGCACCCGAGGCAGACGGCCCTGAAACTCTTCGGTCAAACGGCCACCGATGCCCGGGATGTTTTCCTGGCCTTTGACTCCGGCTCAGTGAAAGGCAGCTCGGAGATCCGCCGAAGCTTCGCAAAAATGCAGAAGCAGCATGACACGTGGACTCAGACAGCTTGGACCCTGCTTCCTGCCAGCCAGCGGGACCTGGAGGCGAGAGCCAATTTCCGTGAGACCGAGTGCCTTGCTTGAAAACTGAGTGACAGCGAACATCAGTTCCGCCTTAACCCTAAACTGCCCGAACTCCTCAGGCCATCCACTGGGCAATCCGGCAAAAGACGCAAGAAGGCCGCTAGTCTGTCGGCACTCGGCGGGTCCGAAGGGGCACATGTGATGGCCGCCGGCTTCACTTTGCAAGCTCGCGACCTTCGCTTTTTGTCTGCCATCGGGACCGCTAGTAACCTTGAAACTCCGTCTTTGTCGTGTTGAAATTGGAGCAGACACACAGACAGACATGTTGCAGGATCGATTCGTCCTACCCCTTCCTTCATGTGCCTTTGCTGGCCCCATGCGATGTGGAACCGCTCGTCACTCGAGAGGACAAAGAGAAGGCCGCTGCCTCGTTAGGTTGGGTGTTCTTGCTTTCCTCCTCCCTGCCAGCTCCTCCTCAAAGAGACGGACGGCGAAGTCTCCCATGACCAGCCTCTGCCGCAACACTTTGTCGATGATGTGGGGCTGAAGGCTTCGCTGCGAATTGTGGTAGAAGGCTTCATCTGAGCTGGCTTCCTGACTCAGGAGCTCGTACCATTGCACTACTGGTCGAAGCACCCATCCTGCTACAAAGAATTGCTGCGCCTGCTTCAAGCCTCATGCCTCGTGGCCTTCAGTCATGACCCAACTCTGCTGTTGGCAGCCTTGGCCTCTTGGTCGATTTTGGCTGCTGAGAGCTGTGTGCTTCAGGTTTGAGTGCTGCCCTCGCCTTTCCCTGCAAAGGAAATGCGAGTCTCCTGCATTGTTCTTTGCAGAAGCACCGCCCACATGAAGGTGCTTCAGGACTACTTGTTTTCTGCCCTTCGCCGCAAGATGCTGGATGCGAGCTGCACCCGCTTGCAATCCAGCCTGCAGACACGGACACTCAGATGCAGGGTGAAGAAGAGGACCAATGCGAAGAAGAAGAGCTGGAGGAGCTTGAGGGCGAAGGAGGCAATGTTGAAGACCTGCTGAAGGAGATTGATTCGCCAGTTTGAGTAAGTCAGTGCTGTGCAGTTTTTGATTTTCCTATGGTCTCATGTGAGACAGAGCGGTGCGGCTGAAGGGGCCGGGCTTTGAACATGGTAAACTGCGGTTGGCAGTCCACGTGCACAGAAAGCCCGGGTGAACGAAGCTCAGCCATAGCTGTTTCTTCATGTAGCTGCTGCCGGTGCTTAAACAAAGTCGGCTTCCTTCCGTGCTGGCATTGTTAGTGTGCTCGGGTACACGGCTTGCATGGCCCTTCACAGTCTTCACACTTTCAACTTTGAAGAATCGTCGCCGCGGCTGTCATTTCAGATTTTGTGCTGATCGAGGGCCTGTTCAGATTGTCAGCTTTTGTCTTTGCTGACATGTCCCACACGACCAGCGATGCCAATGCTGTGGCCAGCATCAAAACGGGCCTCACCAAACGTCGGAGCCTTGTCGCCCGTATGTTTCTTGTGGTCTGCATGCTTTCAGCTTAAGGCCAGAAGGTGGAGGACATCTCGGCCGAGCAGCTGCAAAGCATTTTGTCGAACAGCAAGGTGCTCTGAGCCTCGGGTGTCTGCCGTGATTGCAGCATTAAAGTGTCAGGCCGATCTCGGCACACTGTGGACCCTCTGCGACAAGCTCTATTCGTGTGGTCCCCAGCGATTGCAGTTTGGAAGTCGGAAGGGCTCTGCAGATGTCTGCCCCCTCCTTACATTTCGATTCAACAGCAAGATTTCAGGGTTGACACATTGACGGTTGACTCATTCCTCTGGCAGGTTCTGTGGTGTCAAAGAATGCAGGCCGCCTGCCCCGCCTCGCAGTTCCGCTTCTGCACCGGCACCGCAAGCAGATCCAGAGCCGAAAGCAGCACCAGGGCCGAAAGCAGCTCCGAAGAAAGGACGCAATGCGGCTGTGAAGGCACAAGAGGCCAAGGACAAGCCGAAGAAGATTATCCACTACGGCTTCAGCTCCTTCGACGCCCCGCGGATTTGCACGGCAATCAATCACTTGATAATCGCGGCAGGGCCCAAAGACATGAAGTACCACAGCTTCGAGATCGTTTGGGCGCCTCGAAGTGGAGCGGCCGGTATGATGTCCGGCAAGCCGGTTTCGCGGCCGTGGTATGCCTTGGCACCTGCACCGGCAGAAGGCGGACAAGGCCGGCAGGCAGTTCTTGAGCATCCCGGGTTCAAGGGTACACATGCACTGGCAGGACCCCTGCTCTGGAACTTCTTGGACGGAGTCGTGAAGCACCAGGACAGGATGATGAACACACATGATGTTTCCGGAAAAGTTGTGCGGTTCGACGCTCGCTTGCCTTGGACGTGGGTGCCCGCATCCGCACCGGCCCTGTGCATCATTTGTCGCTTCGTGGCTCTCGGCTTCACAAGCCAAATCAACTCTGAGATGAAGAAGGTTGGATTTCCAGTCGGCCAGGGCACCCCATTGGCGACGCTGCCGGGGGCATTGGCGACCGGCTCGATGATGATGAAGCTCGGTGGCACTCTGGACAAAAGATAATGAGGCTCTCTGCCGCCGGTGCTTTTCTGGCCTTCCCTCAGCCCCTGACTTCCAGGAAGTTGGCTGCCAACAAGTTCAAACAGGATCACCCGGCCCCGCTGAAGGCAGGACGGGCTTGGACGAGAGCTTCTGTGCCGTGCTGCTGCCTTTGCTCAGGACCTCGTGAGCAAGTACTGCGAGCACTGTGTCTGCGACAACTGTGTTGCGATTCGCAAGAGGCACCAGGATCGACGAGGAGATGCCTGAGAATCCTGGGGTGCCGTTTATACGCCACGATGGCCGATTTTGTCTGGTCAGATCTTGCTCCTTGGGGAAAAAGCATTGCTGGCCTGCTCTTTCGGCACGCCTGTCACCTAGCAGCTTGAAACATGTGCAACAAACACGCTGGGAGTGTTATTGGATTGTGTGCCATTGATGTTGCTCAGCTCCCTGAACCAGGCATTGCTTCCGACAGCGGGCCAAGGACAACCTCAATTCGAAATAGATTTCTGGGCCACGCTTGGGCCTGCCACAACCAGTAGGGCAATCTCAATTCGACATGACAGAAAGGCTCGGACAACGGGCCCAGGACAACCTCAATTGGAAATAGAGGCTCCGACAGTGGGCCCGCAAACCCTAAGACAACCTCAATTCCATATGACCCCAAAACCCTCCACCATGTTGAATTGTGGTTGTCTAGCCTCCCGTCGGATGGCGACCAGCTCGTTGGACAGGACTCGGCGAGGCCAGTTTGATTCCGCAAGTGTCATTGGAAAAAAAATTTTCGATCCCCAAAATGTACCGGACAACCTCAATTCGACATGGTAGGACAACCTCAATTCGATATGGTAGGACAACCTCAATTCGACATGAAACCGAAAAATCTGCATTGGCCTTGAAAGATACCTACATTACTTACATTAGCAAGATTGTACGGATGATATTTGCAAAAAGAATATTCTAAACATGGCATCCCTCAATGGTTTCGCTACGAAGGGAAAGATCCATTCATGTTGTGACGGGAGAGTTGACTTCCTCGGCGGCTACGTGATACAACTTACACTTTTGAGGGCCTGGAGCTTGACGGGATGTTCTGAGCATAGTTCGTTTTGCAGAAAGTCGTGGCAACGAAATTCTTGGCTAGGTGGCATTATGGACGGATATTGATTTCTCTTTATAGGGATCCGATGGACCCCAGATGGACCTGAGGGGTCCGATGGACCCCAGAACCCAGTCAGGTTTGTTGGTGTGGGTTCAGTGGTGATGGTATCTTGGGGTGGGAAGAAGCCAAGTGAACAGCACCATTCTGGATCTCGGATTTCGTTCACACACATGCAGGTGTTCAGTGCTGAGCAAGGGTGCCGACAAGCTGCTGTGACTAGGTTGCATGCACTCCGTCATACTACAAAGTGTGAGAGTCTTGACAGTGAGGCTGGTTGCTGCTTCGGGGATCCGTTTACAGCGACTTTGGTCAAGAGAGATCGTTGCTTGTGTGTTCCATGCCGGGCATGCTGACACGATTGACTCTCAAGATTCAGAGCTTTGCTCATCCAAGGCTCCATCACATCAATGCCGAGCTGTCCATACAAGTGTCCCAAGTGCAATGCTGCGAGTCGGCGGAAGCCGCCTGCTCTCTGCAATGGCTGTGCCTTGATTGTCGAACATTGCTATTATTTGAAGCATTGTGGACGCTGCCTCCTTTCTCTTTTCCGGTCCAAGGTGACGTGAGAAACACTCGTGGTCACAACCTCAAGAGCGACAGGAGGCAGCAGACGGGCAAGACCTGGAAACAGCGCAGCTCTTCGAAGAGAGTGGTGGCATCGTGGTGGGACGAAGAGATTGAGCTGCCTCGGCCGACGCCGAAGGGCGGCTTGCTGCCGCCGCCTGAGCAGCAGATGGAGCACTGGATCTGGATTAAGCATGCCGTGAGCCCCGGCTCTGGCATTGGCTACTTGTTCCAGGGAAGCTGCTTTGCCGCATCTGAGCATTGTTGCCATTTCCTGCCTATCAAATTTCTTCGGCTGTGCCGTGGATTGGGTGCCCCAGGTCTGTGCGATGATGTCATCGATTTGAAGGGCAAGCCGAAGTGCTTCGATCTGTTGAGGAGCAGCCAGTTGCTCGGAGATAGATCCTCTGTCCAAGAAATTCTGAGTTCTTCAATTGCAGTGGCAAGTATCCGGTTTCAC